TCAGCGAGGCGGCTGCTGTGGTTTATTTGTGGTCGCCAGGGAGTGAGATAACATCCTATATTTAACGCTCGGCAGCCACAGCCGGGGGCAAAGAGGGGCATCAAGGGGACCCCCGGCGACCAGAGGGGCGGAGGATGCTGGGGAGAGTCTTCTCCCCGAGGTTTGTGGCGCCCGGCTGGCCACAGAGGACTGCTTTCCAAAAAGCGGGAAAGCCTCGGAGCAACGGGGGTGGGCAGCAGCGGGCAGCTCTGCCTGCACGGTGCCTTTAAGAGCAGGGAGCGGTGTCCCGTTGCCGCCTAAAAATAGTGTGTGTGTGTCCCGTCCTGGCTGGATCCCGTGTCGTGCCGGAGTGGCCCCCACCAGTGCCAGGACCCCAGCCACTTCCCTCCCGGCGGGCCGGCCAGAGGGCTGCAGAGCCAGGTGAGAGTGGGAGGGAGCAAGTCGGAGCAGGGCTCAACCCAGCCCCAAAGCTGCCCCCACCCCCGAAAAATCGGTGGAAGCCCCGGCAGGGCACCTCCAAGCGTGGGAAGGAGAAATCACGGCCACAGGTGGGAGTGGGGGGGCTCTAGGGAGCACTTCTGCCCCAGCTGGTGTCTGTAAATCAGGTGCTGGGAAGGGCCCGTTGTAGCAGAGGAGGGAGAGAGGGAGCTGTCATCCCCTTTTCCTGACAGAGACACCACGCTCTGCTTGGGCTCTGTTTGCCGGCAAGGCCCCACGGCCATCCCAAGCACCATGGTGAGAAATGTGGATGACTTCGACTTCTGCCTGCCTTCGCATGCCCAGGGCATGCTGGAGGGGCTGCAGCGACTGCGTGCCAACCCTAAACTGGCAGATGTGACACTGGTGGCGGGTGGGCAGGAGTTCCCCTGCCACCGCGGCATCCTGGCCCTGTGCAGCCACTACTTCCACGCCATGTTCTCCGGTGACTTCGCTGAGAGCATTGCGGCACGCGTGGAGCTGAAGGAGGTGGACCCCAGCGCGCTGGAGGTGCTGCTCGACTTCGCCTACACAGGGAAGGTCACCATCAACCAGGGCAATGTGGAGGGGCTGATGCGGACCTCCAGCCAGCTCCACTTCCCCACTATCCAGAAGGTCTGCAGCCGCTACCTCCGGCAGCAGATGGATGCCACCAACTGCCTAGGTATCTGTGAGTTCGGTGAGAGCCATGGCTGCTCCGAGGTCTCCTCCAAGGCCTGGTCTTTCTTGCAGGAGAACTTTGAAGCTGTCTCTCTGCAGGAGGAGTTCCTCCAGCTCTCCAAGGAGAGGTTGGCTGTCTACCTCTCCAACGACCAGTTGCAGGTGCAGGAGCAGCAGAGCCTGGCTGAGGCCGTGCTGCGCTGGGTAAGGCACGACCCAGAGCCCCGAGCCCAGTTCCTGCCCGAGCTGCTGGAGCTGGCCCACCTTGTCTCGCTGCCTGACCAGTATCTGCAGAACCTGCTTGCCACTGAGCCTCTTGTCCGTGACTCAGATGCCAGCAAAGCCCTCGTTGCCCAATCCTGTGCCATGGTGGGTACCCCCTGCCCCAAATCCCACACCCAAGCCAGGGGGGAGGCTCAACTCAGAACCTGACAGTCCTGCCCTGACCCCTCCATCAGGGGCAGAGAGATGTCAGCGCCCAGAAGAACTCCCTGACCCCACCACAGAAGCTGGAAGAGGTGCTGGTGGTGGTCGGTGGCCGTGTGCTGGAGGAGGACGAGGATGAGGATAGGGGGCTGGAAATGCCAGCTGCCCCCAGGAACTTCGCCTTCTACAACCCCAAAAGCAGTTAAGTGCCCATAGCAGGGATGGGGCAAGCACACCCCCCACCCCACCCCCCATGTTAATTAACCCTCTGTCTAACCCAAGGCCACCTCTTGCCAAATGACCTGGTGTCAGGAGG